GGTTTCGTCGTGGGTTGTTGGAGGGAGTTGTAGAGGAGAGCAGAGGCAACAAGGAGGAAATCACAGCAGAGGCCAGAAGAAGGAAATAAACAAGTGTTTTGCCCTAGCTCCCAAATTGTTAACATGGAGGATAGTTATGTAATTTCATAGGGTTGCGTTTTTATGACTTCCCAAATGGTTTTGTTGCGTTATAGCTGCCATGGCTTTTTTTCTATGTTGCAAAACGCAGCTTTTTACTCTCTTCCCAGATGGCCACATTATAATTTAATTTTTTTATTAGTCCATTGTTAAATTAATTAATATAAAAATATTAGAAAAAAACTATAAAAAAAATTACTGGTAGATGAGTAGAAAAAATCTACAAAGAATTACAAAAATTTATTTAATATATATATTATTATACTATTAAACGCTTAGGTAATGCTATGGTATACAAGCTTTTGTGGTATTAATTATCACAAATATTATAATTAGATCATTTTCAATCATAACTAAAAATAATAATTATAACCAAATATCATAAGGTATAACCAAATATCTTTTGAATCATAACTAAAATAATGTTATAATCAATAGTTATAACTAATACCATAATAGGTTATAACCAAAGACCATGACCGAGACATGTAAAATTTTTCTAAATGGTAAATTATTTGTCAATTTTATATATGCAAACAAAGGTAAAATAGGTATTTTAAAAAATTAATTTTTTATATTAATTTTTTTGGTTAGTTGACTTAACGATTGACTTGGGGTTTGCACGGGTCGGATTGGGTCGGTTATACCCTCAATCCGTTAGCTGAACCGAATGCATCGAATTAGAAACTTGATCATCCATTGTCGACCGATCTAGTATTCGAAATTGACCGCAACAAACCACTCGGTTTGACGGTCGGCGCGGTCAGTGGTGTGTTTGAAAGACAACCCCTCCCATAAAACAAGTCTCAGATTCAAACATGTATATAAACACATTGATTCAAAGATTTAAACATGTGATTCAATCAAAATAATAAACAGATTCAAACATGAATGAGTTGAGAGATAGAAATAGAGTGAACACTAATTTTAGGAAAAAAAGAAAAGAATTCCGTCGTTTAGCGCCATCCACAATCGATCAACTCCATCATCATCACCATGGCTTTTGCTCCATTGATCTGCTAAACTTTGTCACCATCGATCGCCATCGTCTTTCCATTGCTGCTCTGCTCTATGGCCATTAAGGTTTCTATGAGACGAAGATTGAATAAGGAAAATAGGGTTTGTTGAAGAAATCGAAGATTGGGTTTGTGGGTAAGAAAGAATCAAGGTGAGGGGTTTCATGGGTTTACCGAGAAAGAGAGTGTGTATGAGTGTATTGGGAAGTGAAAGAGAGGTAAACATCAGTTGTTACACACAGAGTTTGTATTGGGAAGAGAGAGAGAGAAAGAAAGAGAGAGATAGAGGGAGTTAACCCAGGGGTGGATGGCAACCTGGTAAGGGCCTGGGGTTTAAGCCCCTAGGTCTTGGGTTCGATTCCCCTCTGGGCCAATCTCTTGGGTGTAGCACAGTTGATTAGGAGGTTGACCTCAGGATACTTAATCAGCAGCTTGGTGTGGGTTTAATGCTCCCCCGCTGTGCGAGTCCTGACTTAAGCGGAGCTTGTCTTGGGAGGTTGGGACAAGCTTCCAGGTTATAGTCTCTTATTCGGAACGGACAACAGGACACCTTGGTAATCTCCTCAAGGGGCGGGGTTTAAGCCCCTAGGTCTTGGGTTCGATTCCCCTCTGGGCCAATCTCTTGGGTGTAGCACAGTTGATTAGGAGGTTGACCTCAGGATACTTAATCAGCAGCTTGGTGTGGGTTTAATGCTCCCCCGCTGTGCGAGTCCTGACTTAAGCGGAGCTTGTCTTGGAAGGTCGGGACAAGCTTCCAGGTTATAGTCTCTTATTCGGAACGGACAACAGGACACCTTGGTAATCTCCTCAAGGGGCGCTGCCTTAGACCTGCGGGAGAGTAGGAAGATTTTCCTGTAACAAAAAAAAAAAAAAGAGATAGAGGGAGTTTATTGGGAACAATAAGACAAATTGGTAGAGAGATAGAGAGAGTTTGTATTGAAGATGAGTGACAGATCGGTAGAGAGAGAGAGTAACATTGGTTAATGGGGAAGAGAGAGAGAGAATTGAGAAGTTAAAGATAGAAATTGAAAAGACAAGTCTTTGGTTTTGATGTAGGTGTAGTTATGAGGTACAACAAAAACAAGGGCAAATTACAAACACCCCTCGAGGTTTGGTAAAAATATAGATTTCCTTCTGAGGTTTGAGAAATTACAAATTGTCTCCTGAAGGTCAAATTTGCATAACAAATTAGGGGGGAATCTGTATGAAAATAAAAATCTCAGGGGGCAATTTGTTATGGAAATATAAACCTCAAGGGGCGGGATGTAATTTCTCAAACCTCAGGAAAAATCTGTATTTTCACCAAATCTCGAAGGGGGTGTTTGTAATTTGCCCCAAAAACAAGCTACGTGTAAATTAAATATTATTAATTAGTGATATATATCGGTCGATTGGATATATACGGGTTTTCAGTGCCTAAATTGTCAGCCGACCGTCAATTTATGAATATACAAGTTTCACAACCGTGGCCAACCGTTACTATTTTCGAAATCGACCGTACACATTCAGGTCGGCTCGAATCGGTCAAGTTGAATGGGTTAGTCAGATTCGTGTACACCCCTACGGTTGACTAACAAAAGGATTAAATTGTAATGAAAATTTAAACCTTAAGTAGGGGAATGTAATTTCTAGAACGTAAGAAGGGTATTTGTATTAAAGACAAACCTCAAAGGTCACTTTTAATTTACCCAATTTTTTTGGGTGAAACCATCAATTTTTTTTAGCAAAATATAAATATTTAGATATCAAATATTGAATGAAATTATTGTCCCAACAATTAATTTTTATTTGATATTTAATCGTTTTATTTTTATTGAAATTGATATCTGAATACAAATAAAATTACCCAAATAATCTTTGGATTTCACTGCTTTAAGAAAAATTTCTGGCTTCATTTGGTAAGACTTTCTAACTATGATTTGAGAATATGAATTATATTTTGAGTTCGTATGTTTTGAAATTATGATTTGAGTGTAGAAAATTTGTTTGGTTATGATTTTTGAATAGAGTGATGAATTGAGTTTTGAATTGAGTGTAGAATTGAGTTTTGAAAGTTTGATTTGACATGTAAAGTAAGAAATTTTGTTTGGTTATGAGTTTTGGAAAGAATTTTCAAAACTTAATTTCAAATTGTTATAACTCCTAACAACACATACTACTTTCACATTATTAAAATTCTGATCAATACTCATAACCAAACTCTTTTTAAAATTCAATTAAAAAATTTTATTATTAACAGAAAATAACATTAATCAATTTTTTAATTGAAAATACAATAATTAGACAGAAAACGACGTGTTAATTGTAACATATATAAAAAAAATATTATTATATTAGGGTTTAGTTTGTGTCATATGTCTGAATTGTATATAATAAAATATTTTTATATTCTGTGACTGGTAATATGTTATTTTTTATTTAATTTTGGATATAAATTAATTTTTAGAGTAAATTGACAAAAATTTAAAATATAAAAGGTCAAAGTACAGAAAAAAAAATTTAAGAATCAAAATAAAAAAATAACTAAATATAAAAGAAGCAATTTACCTTATCTTTTATAGTTGTGATATTTTCTAAGTTTCCAAAAAGGGCCTAGTTGAGTTTTTTTATGGGATAATTTCATTTACGTGTGGATTTAGAAAAATGTTTTCAAATTAATGATAACTTTTTTATGTATTAAAAAGTGAAATCATAATATTTTTTTAGAAAATTTACCAATAAATCCCATTTCACAAACTATTAAACCAATTAGTCCCAACTTTATTCTTTTGTTCGGATAAGTCCTATCAGTGGGGAAGTTTATTTCTTGTTAATCCTATTTTTCATATTTAGTGTACCTGTGTGGACAATTTTACCCATTATTGTTTTGTTTCCATATCCCTCACTTCACCATCACTTCACCATCTCCCACATTATAACTCTTCCTCCCTTCTGTCTCTTCCTCCCTTCTGTCTGCAAGCTCACCCGCGCTTCTCTCTCTCTGAAATTTCGTTCCCTCCAAACCCTTCCACACAACAAAAAAGAGTAAAATCAAACTCCTTCCGACTCACCATCAACAGCGACAATGCAACAAACACGAACGCGAAGTTCCACAACAGATCCAGAATCACGATCGGCTTCGAGTACGCCCAATCGCTCTGCTTCTCTTCGATCTGCTCCGCCGTCGCCTCTCTTACCCTCAACTTCGGCTCGCGCATCATTCTCCGACTACCGCGGAAGCTCGGCGGGCGGCGCACGAACCGGCGGCTCAGGAAGATCTGATGGGTCAGCAATGGCGTCGCATCGATTAGCTATTGTGTGTGTGTGTGTCTGCCCCTCGTAATGTATGTGTGTATCTGTGTGTGTGTGGATCTGTGTGTGTGTGTATCTCTGTGTGTGTGTATGTATCTGTGTGTGTGTATCTGTGTGTGTGTATCTCTGTGTGTGTGTGTATGTATCTGTGTGTGTATGTATCTGTGTGTGTGTGTATCTGTGTGTGTATGTATCTGTGTGTGTGTGTATCTGTGTGTGTATCTGTGTATTTGTGAGCAACGGTTAGATGAGGGTAATTACGTCCCTCACAATTAAATGGGACTAAACAGTTTACTAGAATAAAAATGGGACCAATTGGTTCATAAGTTTACATTTTGGGATTTATTGGTAAATCTCCCTAGGAATAACAGCTAAATAGAAACGGATCCATAGGAGTTTCGGGAGGAAAAGGAGACAATTCTTCTTTCTCTTCCCGCTTTTGCCGTTCCCCTCCAATCTCAATCTCAATTCCTCCTGGGGCATATATATATATATATATAAAGAAGAGGTGTAACTGAAACACGAGACTCTCTCTCTCTCTCTCTCTCTCTCTCTCTCGACTCTTCCAATGCCGGTTCTTCCCATTTCGTAACACAATTAAAAACCAAAAAAACAAATAACATATATAAACTGAGCTATAATAATCTCGTGTTATCTCTATTCTTGAGGTATTTCATTCTCCAGATATCTTGAATTTTTTCATACATTATATTATATATTCCTATTATATAACCTCCTTTATGTATGTTCTGATCATGATGTACACATAACACGATCATTGATCTAATATATGTATGTATTCATGAATATCTGTTAATCGAAGCAACATACATTTGAATCGAATCTATATAATTGACCATTAATACTCCAATTCCATCATATCCTATGACAGGGTTTTATAATTTTGGGATCAATGTATCAATTGGATATCATATTTTTCTTTTGAATACATCAATGGTAGTGATTTCTGATACTTTGGAAGAATTTGAATGATTTTTCCATTGATTATATTGCTGTGTTGGCCAAATCATTCATTCCTTGTTAATGATTCGGTCTCGTTAATGCTTTGCTTGTATGACACTGGAATACTTTGATTTTTTGTCAGTGTCGTAGATGATGGATTCTGGGAAGCTCACTGCATTAACTACAAGCGTTAAAGATCACATCTCCACCCATTCTAACGATGGCTCAAAGGAAATCACACCTAAGCAACCATTTATAATTGGTAAGGCTATTTGACATTATTTTTCTTGAAATCTGATAGCAGTTGTCATTTTTAAATATTATTTGTCTTCTTTTGTTCACATTACTGGCTTCTGCGTTGATTGAGAGAATTGCTAGCAGTGATTGCCCGTAAATTTCATACAATTTTAGAGGTGTAGTACACTTTTAACGCTCACCATTTGAATGCAGAAAAAAAATAAAAATGGCTGAGTTTAGTGTATATGACTGACTGGGGAGAAACAGAGTGGGCTCTGTGGAGCACCAATGAAACACATATGGTCAGTCAAGCAACTGGTGAAATTACACTGACGCAATGCAAACCCACATACACAGTTGCAAATAATTAGTTTGAAAAGAAAGCCAAAATAGTTTGTCATATTTTTTTTTTTTATGGCTTCTATGTATTTAGGTTATTGGATGCTTTTAAAAAGTAGTTGTTGATTAAGGCCACGGTACCATTATTTTAATCCTTCACGAATTCCTCATCCATTTTCAAATAATCAGATGGATTGACTTGACTGGCAGTAGGAGTGTCCAAGTTTACAAATTACATTGCTTATATCTGGGCATTCATGTCAGCTAAAAAATCTAAATATTGACATGTGATTTATTTCATGAGAACTTCAAAAAATGGTGATACTTTGGTGGGAGTTAGACTTCATATTGAAACTTAAAATAATTGGATAAATTTAGAGTGAGTTACCTGATTCTAGGAAGTTGTATTAACAATTGTACTAGAAAGCAACACCAAATTAACTTAGAGCTTTGCCAGAGGAAAGGGAAAATATTTAAATGCCTTCCTACTATTAAATTTCTGGGATATTTTCTTTATGCTGGTGTTACAATAATTAGTATTAGTTTTTCTATCCTTTGTCAATACGGGCATAATGCTAAGAGAATGTTTGTGATTTGTTGAAATTAAAGGTGTTGCTGGTGGGACTGCATCTGGAAAAACAACAGTTTGCAATATGATTGTTTTGCAGCTCCGTGATCAACGGATTGTTCTTGTCAGTCAAGTATTTTCCTGGCTCTCTTCCGGCTGTTAAGTACTACTAAGACCAGTAGTTATTTCTTACTATTACTGCACATATATTACAAACTTGAGTGATGTGATTTGCTTAAGACGTCTGTTCTTACTGCCAATCATCTCAATCTAATGAATCTGTTTTAGTTTCCAAATGCGTAGATTACTACAAAAGGGGTTGTATCTACATATGATGTACTATTGGGAGTGTTTCAAGCTAACCTATATTATTCTTTGTTTTGTATCCTTGGAAGAAATGGGTTCTTTTTCTAATATTTTATTTTTAGTATAGATTCATTCCCTTCCCAAATTTAAACTAACAGCTAACAGATAGATATGTTCAGTTCAGTTGTGTGTGTATAGTCATCCGGTTACTTCTTGGTTCAATAATGACAAATAGGGCATTGCCAGAGGCCCTATCTAAATCTACTATATTTAGATCCCCCCCCCAAAAAAAAAAAAAAAATTTTTGCTGTACAATAACACGAACTAGGATGCTAAGTTCTGTAAGAAAAAGAATAAAACTACAAAATTATCTACTAAAGAGGGCAAGAAGAACAGAAAACCAGGATTTAAATTCTTGCTTGTCATTGGATTATACAGTTTCCATCTTAAATAATTTTCCCTTTTAAACCTCATGCTAATCTTCAAACAATACAGAAAAGGTACTTCCGCATCTTTTTATTTATTTTTGGTAAGTAAGAGATTTATTATCACCATATCAACTAGTTCCAGTTGTTCCTAACAACCACAATTTCTTTTGCAATTGAAAGTTAGACAAAGAAAGAAATGGAGAAATAAATTCAGACCTTTATCAAGAAAAATTCATATAAAAGTTTGCACAGATGCTTCTGATTAATCTCATCATAGACCTCACATCTATTCAGCTTAACCATGGGAATGGAGTTATAGTCTGTACCTTGTTACTTACGATGTTTTTTCCCCTTTTTCCCCTTTTCCCCTTTATATGCATGACCATATTTTTTTTAGATTGTGTTTGACTCTCATCTTGGTTTCAATGCATTGTCACAAACTTGTTGATCCACATAATTCTGTGATTCTTGCAGGACTCATTTTATTACTCGCTGAATGATAAACAATTAGAAAAGGTCCATGAGTACAACTTTGACCATCCCGGTAAGGATTATGTGGAGTTTTTAGTTCATAGATGGTATGACTGCATAGAGTTAGATATATCTGATATGCTTATTGGTTTTCATTAGACATCTACATATACTGTTATAATGCCTCTTCACATTCTGGATGTTTTGCAGATGCTTTCAATACAGAACTTCTCCTTTCATGCATGGAAAAATTAAAACATGGACAGGCAGTTAACATCCCAAATTATGATGTCAAGAGTCATAAATGTGTTGAACCAGAACGCAAGGTACTAACCTACATTTGTCCAAGTCAAATTTCCTTAGTGCAAGAGATTTGGAAGAGGTTCAGATTTTTTAGATGATCTTAATGTGATTTTGAGGCATAATAACTTGAAACCACTAGTGGGGTCATACTTTCAATCAAGCATTATGTCTCTGACCTGTGAAATCGTATTGTTGATCTTATGATGGTACATCTCTTCCTTGGTTCATTTTACACATGTTAGAAAATGGGTAGTCCAGCAATAGCATATAAGGCTAGACTGCCCATGTGATGGTTCATGCATATAATTTAGCATAAAATTACACGGAACTGGAGTTGCAAACAGTGACAAGATGGTTACTTTGTGTGCTAAGATGCAATTAGTCACATACACTTGGTTCCTATAATTTTGCTTATGCCAGTGTGTCTATCTTCTTCTTACAAGAGTGATAATAAAGTTCCAATGAGAACAAATGAATTTAATCAATGGTGCCATTTTAATCAAATGTAGGTTAATCCTTCAGATGTCATCATTTTGGAAGGAATTCTAGTTCTTCAAGATCCACGTGTCCGTGATCTCATGAACATGAAGATCTTTGTTGATACAGGTTCTTACTTTGGCCTCTATTTCCCTAGATTCTCTCTTTTATGTTGTTCTCCAAATTATAGAATATGTCAATGGAAAAGAAATTATAGTTTGTTGTAAATAGGTTCAAAATTCAGATATTTGTATTGGAAGGATTTTTTAATTCGTTTTGACCCTGAGGCGAGGAAAACAAAACACAGAAAAGAAGGGAAAGAACATGAAAATTACCTTATTTGAAAGCTCATGTGTCCAAGTGCCAAGTGGGCCTCTAAAGCGGCACAACACGCTTCAGCTGCCCCTGTGTGTGTGAAACAAACTAGTGCATGCTAGGATGGCCCTTGGTTCTCTTTGAATTAAGAGAATCTTTCATGACTTCATTTATTAAGGTATTGCTTTTGTCCTCTTTTTCCTATGTGGGACAAGGCTTTATAAAAGCAAGTAAAGATACAAGGGAGGTTTTGAAAATCCACCCCAAAAACAACTTTGAATATTTGAAAATATTTCAGCAAAACTCACAGTGGTTCACAAATTTTATGATGACACAATACCTTCTGGAAAGAGGAATTTTTCAGTGCAATATTCTACTCTGTTAAATTGTCTGATATATAACAGAGTAGGCAGCTGGGGAGTATTTCTTCCATCCATATGAGAAAGATGACATTAAACTCCACCATCTGTATACTAAGAATTCAGTTCTGATTTTATGAGTTAAAAATGAATGTTAAATTTTATTTTTACCATATTGTCAAAAAGAATGTTTAAATATTTATGATTCTTTCTCAATTTTTTCTCTAAAACAGGAATATGTTTGCTCCCTTTTACCCCAACCCTCTTTTTCTGTGTTCTAGCCAAAACGTGTCATCCCTGCTGATGCTCAAGCTCACTTTTGCATTTTTTCAGCTGTGTTCTCTTAAGCAATAACCCCAGTTATGATTTCACCAGTGCAGATTCTGATGTGCGGCTTGCGAGGAGGATACAACGTGATACGACTGATAGGGAAAGGAACATTGAAAATGTGCTTGATCAAGTCAGTGGACTCATTTAACTTTTATAATGAACGAATGACATTCAAGTACTTGTAGTAACCACTTCTGGTCTTTTTTGTTTACTTTTTGGGTTGGCCAGTCATTGCATATTGAAAAGTGCATTCTAGTTATGCCCTTCAAGTCACAGTCTCATACTTCTTGTTATTCTTATAAATGAGCAATCTGGTGTAGAAGCCAACTGTAAAATGACGAAACCATGAAAGAGCAAAAGATATTACCTATGAAATATAGATATCCAGCAATAATCATGTCTTTTATGCAAGATACATTCACAAAGAAGAATAAAGATGATTTCTTTTTTCTGCCACACTGCTCTTTCAATATAATTTTCTTCATAGGGATATGTGGTTTTCCTTCCTTAGTTTGTAGCAAACTGAATGCAGTTGTAATCCATATCATGTGCATAAGTAACTGTTCATAGCTGTAGGCAGGTAAGAGATGAGAAAATGAAAAAGAGATGAACTCTGCAGCTGTGCTGGGTTGCCTCTATAACTGATTCTCATCTGTCTATTCTTCAATTCTCATTCAAAGCTATTTTCTTCATTTTCACATCATAATTACTTACAATGACATTTTTTTGAAGTGCCTGCCATCTATACTTTGAAAAAAAAATGCGAGATACTGATTGAGATATTATTGTTTAATGTTGATGTTTGTAATTTCATCCACTTTTAAAGATTGTCCTAATTTTGAGTGCTAAAATAATTATTCAATATTCTCACCAAGCAATATAATCTGATTTGCAGTACACTAAATTCGTTAAGCCTAGTTTCGATGAATTTATACTTCCATCGAAGAAACACGCAGATATCATCATCCCTCGAGGAGCAGATAATGATGTTGCAATTGACTTGATAGTACAACATATTCGTACAAAGCTTGGCCAGCATGATCTATGTAAAATATATCCAAATGTTTTTCTTATATATTCAACATTTCAGGTAACAAGTTCGATTTCAATTTGGTCTTGTACTCATAGGCTTGCAACAGGGTTCAACTTTTCAGTTCATCCTGGATTGTTGAAGGAAGAAAAAGGTGAAAACTTGATTGTTGTTTCACCTTTTGCTGCAGATACGTGGGATGCACACTCTTGTACGTGATGTCAGAACAACAAAACATGACTTTGTTTTCTATGCAGACCGCCTCATTCGTTTGGTATAAAAGCTTCATAAAAAATATCTCCTTGACTAATTATTGATTTCTCATCAGGGCAAGATGTAGTATAATGTGGTTATGAATTGACATTTCAGGTTGTGGAACATGGTCTCGGCCACCTTCCTTTTACTGAAAAACAGATCATTACTCCAACAGGTAACTGTGATTAAATTATCTGCTTTCATATTCCCATGTAGAAAGACCATTCTATCTCTCTTAATTAAGCTAACAAAAGTGGCCAACCAACTTGCTGATAAATTATGTTAAGTAATTGCACCAGAGGTCTGGTAGGACTCTGATCTCCCTTGCACACACAACCATAGAAGAGGGTAAAACCTTCCTCCCCCCTTGCCTTCCCTTCTTCCTTAACCCCCAACTGTGTAGGCCATCATGCTTCAGAGAGAGAGACACAAAAGAAAAAAAAGTTCACAAACATTTAGGACTCAAAACCAACTATATCCTCGAGAATTGTCATCTCATATCATGGTTATTTGTCATCCATAATGTATCCAAGATCCTCTGGAGGTGGTGATTTTGTTAAATTATTTGAAATAAGTAAAATAACTTGTTTACCTTTGTGTACTTGCAGGATCTGTATATACTGGAGTGGTTTTCTGCAAAAGGTTGTGTGGGGTCTCAATCATCCGAAGGTATTTTTCTCCAGTAATCTAGTGAGTTGTTAGCAATGGGAGCTTGCATCCAATATATGAAACCTGTCCTGGTTGAAGTGTGGATACTAATTAACTTCTTCATGGGATTGCGAAATTGGTGTTCTTCAGTTTTGCAGCATCACTAGAGACTAGTGTGACGTAGCCTGGTTTTATATTCATGCTTGTAGCATATATCATCTACTTTTTCCAATTAATGCATTATGCTAGTTTGAACAAAAGAACAAAGAACATAGTAGAAAGGTAGAAATTAATCTACTAAAAGAACATAGGAGCATTATGTTACTTTGAACAAAGGAATAAAAAAAAACAACGTACAAACTACATGACTACATAACCAGGATCTCCATGCCCAAACTACATAGAACCTCTTAATGGTATAGAGAATTGGATATATAATACTAAAGGTCTTTTGATCTTTTTGTGTTCCTATGAAGCAACCCCCTTCATCAAAATCAGCAGAATTTAGAAATTCATCTTTAATATAAAAATATATTAATGTGTCAAAAAAACAAAGAAAGCAGAGGTCAATGAAAGGTTTACTTTGCGTGAAAATTGCCTCAACCCAAAAGCTGAAACCTATGATCTAGTACAAGTGATAATATTTGTCGCTGTTTCAACTACAGTTGCATGTGTTTGTTGTTGTTACAGCATAGAAAAAATTGAGTTAAGTTTGAGTACTTACATCTCAAATTTTACTGAGATCAGTGGGGAAAGCATGGAGAATGCACTAAGAGCCTGTTGTAAGGGAATCAAGATAGGTAAAATCCTCATACATGGAGAGGGTAACAATGGCCGACAGGTTTGTGGAACCTACAAAGATGCATTTAAGCTCTCTCTCTCTCTCTCTCTCTCTCTCTCTCTCAACTGCTTCTGTAAGATTTTATGCCTGTGACATTGCTGCAGTTAATCTATGAGAAGCTACCCGCTGACATTTCAAGCCGCAATGTGTTATTGCTCGACCCAGTTTTGGCTTCAGGTAAAATAAATTCCAAACATACTGTAATTCTTCCAAATATGTTCTCATAATACATATCCAGTGTCTAAAATTTTTTTATTATTAGGAAATTCTGCAATCAAAGCTGTTTCTTTGCTGCTGAGCAAGGGCGTAGCAGAATCCAACATAATCTTCCTTAATCTCATAGCAGTGAGTGATTTTGATGTTTAATTGTTTTCTCTCCAGATAATTTGAAGTTGTACAGAATTATTAATAGTTTTATTTCATTTTTGAAAATTTTGAAATTACGACGCAGGCACCTGAAGGAATACATGCTGTTTGTAAGAAATTCCCAAAGCTAAAAATTGTGACATCGGAGATTGACATGTCACTGAACAAGGATTCACATGTGATCCCAGGCATGGGGGAGTTTGGAGATCGCTACTTTGGTACAGATAACAATGTCAATGAAGCCCTTGACAAAACACCCTAGCAAGCAATCGACTTTGAACCCTAATGACACCTGAAATCTCTCTCTCTCTCTCTCTCTCCCCATTTTTTATGTTAAGGGATGCTGAGTAATCCATTTTTGTTGGGGCTCCCAATAATACACTTCTCATTGTTGGAGGTGAAAGTTTTGTTCAGAGTAATAACGCTTCATGTTGAGAATATGAAATTTTGTTTTTGCTTCGAAGCAACATTGACCTATTGATCATGTAAGAAAATAAATGGAAACCAAAAAAAATTCATAATTTCATTGTGCCGAACTTTCCCTCTAGACTTCCATGCTTTCGAAAAACGGTAACTCATAAACCTTATCAAATCATCAATGTAGCTTGCATTTAAAATAATTTGGAAAAAAAATAAAATGCCCATTTTTTCATAAAATCAAACAAGTTTCTTCAAGATTTCATGCGAAAACAAATTTTTTTAGTCATGCTATATGTTGTTAATAGTCAGTGCTGAATATTTTTTTGGGTGAATACATAGTGCTGAATTAAAATCCCCCTTACAAACTTTAATTAAAGTGAACACATTACATTCTACCAATTAACTTAATTGGATTCTAAATAATAGCTTCTAAAAAAAAGAGCTATATACATGTTATAAAACAAATTATTTTCATTTCGATAAGAAGCAGCAGCAGCAATAGCGATGGTAAATTTGGGAGTTAAAAATTAATTGGCTTAATTATCATTTTTTTGTGTGCATAAAATGTCACTAATTAGTTATGTTATGCTATGAAATTATTATAAACATAATTAAAAATGAATCCATTCTATTTTATCCATTCATTTAAGAGAAGTTATTTAGTTGTTCAGGTGGCTGGAGCATTGCTCTACATCATATAAATCATGACACTTGTCATGTTGTCTCTTCAGTACCATTTAGATTTGTTCCTAGAATAAACTATAATTTCTTTTCACTTAATTGGACTCTAAATAATAGCTTCTAAAAAAAATAATCTAAATTTGAGGGTTAAAAATCAATTGGATTAAAAAATTTGAAAGCCATAAAATGCCTCTAATTAGCTATATAATTAATTCCATGAAATTATTATAACCTGTGAATTCTCCTCTGAAATAAAAGGCTTCACATTTTTAGAAATATAGGTCAACATATATACAGTTATAGATGGTGACCTTTTGTTAATAGGTTTATATTAAAAAATACATATATTGCTAAAAACAGCCACAAAAACCATATCCACAGTCAAATTTACAGAATTCAAAGGTTAAAAATAAAAGCATGCACTTGTATAAATAGATATATGTATGAAAGACAAATTGTACCTTACCAAAAGAAAATGGAATGTGGCAAGATGTTGGCTCTTGCAATTTTTGTTTCGTCGGTTCTGAGTGTTGTTGGAGGAGCTGAGGTGAAGGGTTTGCCTCCATGTAATTTTCCAGCAATATACAATTTTGGTGATTCAAATTCAGACACTGGCGGTTGCTCAGCTGCACTTGCACCTTTGAGATCACCAGATGGAGAGACTTTCTTCGGAAAGCCAACAGGAAGGATTTCTGATGGGCGTCTCATTATTGATTTCATGGGTAAAAAAAAAAAAAAAAAAAAAAAAAACTCCATTGAAAATGTGTTAGTTTTATGATATCAATTTAGCATTGAATAATTTTGTCATTGATAAAATAAAATTGCTTTGTATGGTCTTTTAGGATATCAATTCATATTGCATTTATAATATAAAAAATTGCTCATCTTTAGTTTTATGGTGTATGCAGCTGAGCAATTGGGATTACCATATTTGAATTCATACTTGGATTCACTTGGAACAAATTACAGTCATGGTGCGAATTTTGCAGTAGCAGGTGCAACTATTAGGCGCTTGAATAATCATCCTACTCCCTTCTATCTTATGAACAATTGAAGGCTCGAATCACCGATCTTTACAACCGAGGTTGTTCTGATTAATTAGTGTTCATTATTATTCCAAAACTAAAAATGTTTCATCTAATTAAAATTCATCAAAATTTCGTCTTCATTTTTACTCACAAGATATTATCATCATCAGTTAAGAATATAAGCAGACTTCCGAGACCCGAACACTTCTCAAAGGCTCTTTACACCATTGATATTGGTCAGAACGATGCTGTTAGGACAACATTTTTGTCTAATCCTCTAGAACAAATACCGGACATGATTAATCAACTTGCACAAGCAGTTCAGGTATATTGTACTATTTTTTCAAACCAAAAACAAGTGGGGAAAAAAATTGCAATTAATTCTAACAATGTCTATTGTGTGATAAATGTTGTGACAGAATTTGTATAATAAAGGGGGAAGAACATTTTGGATACATAATATCGGCCCAATTGGTTGCATGCCAATAGCCCAAAATTCAATTCCAAATCGAACCGCAGAGTCTTTTGATCAAAATGGTTGCCTCAATAGGTGGACCGAAATGGCCATAGAGTTTAATAAGCAGCTTAAGGACAAAGTGATCAAATTAAGGAAGGAACTCCCAGAAGCTGCTCTTACATATGTGGATGTTTATAGAGCAAAGTATGAACTAATCAGCAACGCCAAGAACCTTGGTAATCATCTTCAAGATCAACATCATCAAAGTTTCTCAATTTTTTAATCATACTAAATTAAATCCACATGATAACTTATACTCTATTTCGTCTGTTTGTACACTCTCTTCATTCTGTTTATACTCATATTTCCTAACAACTTCAGCTTTTGAAAAACTCGCTAATCTAATTTTTTTTTTCCCAACAGGATTCACCAACCCACTTAGGCAGTGCACTAAACATCATGAAACAATAAATGGTATCAAAGTAGAAGTTGGTCTATGTAGAACTCCTTCAACATATATCAGTTGGGATGGCACACACTACACTGAGGCTGCTAATCGTTTGATTGCTAAAAGCATACTCAACGGTTCATTGTCTGACCCTCCACTTCCAATAACCCATGCATGCCATAAACAAGTACCCATGTAATTATAGCTATATACATGTTATAAAACAAATTATTTTCATTTCGAGAAACAATTTTTCTATTGATCAGAACTTCGGAAGTTCACAATTAAAGCAGCCAATGTCGAGCATACCCATCACTTTGGCTCTAAGCTAAATATTTGGGTAAGAAGAAAAAGTTAATGATGTAAGTAAAATTAGATAAAAGAATAAGATTCACCCAAAAAGATACAAGAATAAGGTGCTAGAGAATGAAGTGATTTTATAATTTTACTTATCACACGATATAACCGTACTTATCTTTCAATTTGATTTGTGCTCATCACACAATGTAATAAATGACTCTATTTACCACTCCATATAACCATAGTTAACAATTTTTTGGATATAATACCTAAAATTACTTGTTTTGTATCACAATTAAACCCAATCATATAATTTTGCACCATAATTAGACCCAATCATATAATATGAAAGAGGGTATTTGACACGAAGACCACTTAATAATATGTCTAGTTGATACGTTAATTTATGTGTTAGCAAAAATTTAGTTTGAGTCAAATCGACAAGATAGAGTCGACAAGAAAACTAATTTTTACAAACAAACAAACTGATCAAGCAATGTGACTGATGTCCTATGTCTTGACAGATTCAAGGACTTCTTTAGAGGTTGTTATGTGAAAAAACAAATGTAAACAAAATGAAATTCGATTGAATAACACTCAAACTTGTCACCTAATTTCAATAATCAAATTACAAGTCTGAAAATAATTACAATAGACAGAGTCAAACTGCGTATAAAAGTGGAATTGCAGATGAACTATTCCTAAGTTGAGATAAACTATTTCTAGATAAATTACACTACTCTTGGATTTCACATGAGTTGTGATTGAAGGTCCTTTGATCTTCTCTTCTTTACCTTATTATGGACTTCACCCACAGTTTCCTTTAAGAACTGCTCTAGGCAAGTTCTTCCTCTAAAGCCACGTTGCAACAAACATGTTGAGAAGTTACATCTATCACACCATATGACAGTCACGTTACTTTATTTTCATAACTTCCTTTAACCACTTTCCATGCCTCCTGCTCAAAGCATAACAACAACAACAACAATAATAATAATGATGATGATAATAATAATGTGGCCATAATTTAATTATAAAAAGATGATTCATGGTCTAAATCGATAGATAAAAATCAACAAGCCACAATCAATAAAATTAAATTTGGCCATAATTGATAGACCACGACTAATTAGATTAGATTTGGCATATTGACATGCCAAAATCGATAGAAAATAAAATATGAAGTGAATTTTCCCTTAAATGATATAAAAGACAAAACCTGGATCAACCCATATTCATTAAATATGTTAAACAGGAAAGCAACCCAAGAGGGGGGTGAATTGGGTTATTAAAAATTTGGTCCAAAATTAAGGTTCAAAAGACTTAAGAAATTAAATGCAGCAAATAATCAATAGATTCACAGAAAGTAAAAGGAAAGGAAAGAAAAACTTAACACAAAGATTTATAGTAGTTCGGTTGACCGGCCTACGTCCACTCCTTAAGAGTCCTCTTTGAAAATTTCTTCACTATGAATCGATGCACCACTAAGCTTTTCCCAACTTGTGGATTTTTACAAAAGACTTACTTCAATTTGTTGAGGATCTCTCAACGAAATTCCTCACTTTACAAGTGTTTCACTCAAAAACTAAGGAACTAGACAAAAAGGTTCAACTGTCCTCTTTTACAAATACTATCTCTCAAAAGATGGATATGAAAGTGTAAGCTCACAAGTAAATTTTGCACTCACTTAGATCTGAAAATGGGAGAACAAAAGTGGAATCTCAGAGATTGAAAATGATGCTCTGTACACTTAGTATATTGCAGTGAGTTTCTTGTGTTTTTCTCATATCTGGAAAAGATCCATCTTTATAGCCTTCACCAGATTTCTCACTTGGAGCAGAAACACATACGCATGGGTCTTCTAGCCGTTGAAACTAGGCAAGGAGAGGGCTTTCCAGTTGTTGGAAGTGGAGCATGGGTGGTACAAGCTGTTTTCTGACTATTGGAGGTGGAGCTTCCTCAAAAGAGGGGATACCCATGCTTGGGATTCAAAACTTGGTGGATGGATATAATGTTGTCTCTACGCTTTTTCTTTTCTTGATCTTGGGAGTGGTGTGAGTGGAGAATTTTTCCTTCACTAAGTTAGAGATTATTGTCCCAAAGTTCCTTTTGATTAGAATAAGATTTGTCTGATGATGATGTCACAAAGACCCTCTTTGAGTTG